GCAATACAAGATACACTATTTCCAAAACTTGAAATCCATTTTTTTCTCATGTTCATGCATCCTGATGTAAGATGATCAATTCTAGTGAAATTTTTGAGGTGGGCTCTAATTTGATTATTTAGAGCCTCGGCTCTATATAAACTTCTTCCTTATACAATTGTGTGCTCCTTCACTTCGTTTATATCCCTTGCATTTTTTTTTGTTATTTATTAATATCATTTTTTCCATAACGTTACTTTACCGTGGATTATAGTATCCCTGCAATTCTTATGGTTATATCTTGCATTCAGTTTATTTACTAATGAAGTTCAAGTTATATTGAAATTTTGCATGTATGGGAAACATTGATATAAGTTAATTAAACTGAAATAATCATCATGGCCCAATTATATTCTTTGTAGTTTTTTTATTTTTATATTTAAATTTTTTTATGACTTTTATTTACTAGGAAGAAAACACGTCAAGCGCTAACTATTAAGCCTGGGCTCTTTTCCTATATTATCCTAATCCTTTCAATATAAAAATCACAATCTGGACTTCATTTCCTTATGGAGATGGGAATTTAATTTCCAATACCACTTCAACTGGCACCCTTATTTCATTGTCTGGATGGACCGATCAGAAACATATAAAATACATTTGAACTTTCAAAATATTTGGACTAATATGGAGAGAATGAACATCACTTCACTATGAGCAATGATGAAAAATTTAACATGCATCGGTCCTTATCTTATACATGTTAAATCAATCTTTTCATATATATATATATAAAATATCTCTATGAGTCCTAGGACTCACATGAAGATATACGGTCTCTCTTTTTTATCTATTTCTTTAAATGGAATTTGGACCTATTTTTTCACATATCGTCAATACGGAGATCATTAAAATGTAAAAAATAAAATAAAATAAAATAAATTAAAATTAAAATTAAAATCTGAAAAGACAATTTTTTGGAAAATTTTATTTAACCATTAGATTTTATTCGTTTAGGAGATACCACAACTTTACCACCATCTTAAAAGGGAAAAGTTTATATAGAGCCGAGGCTCTAAACAATCAAATTAAAGCCTTCTTCAAAACATTCACTAGAAGAGGTTATTTTGATGGCGAAATATTCTTAAATTGATCATCTCGACATCAAGATGCATGGACATGAGATAAAAATGGATTTCAAGTTTTGAAAATAGCTCATCTTGTAACACATTTTTGGACCGTCAATTTTCAAGATCTCATAGATATGCCGATCTACACTATATTTGAAGCTTTAAGCTTTATAAATAAAGATGAAAATATATTTTAAGGCTATCACAAAGATTTCAAGTATTGAAACCACATTTCTTGGCACTATTTGAAGGTAGGCTCTAATTTGATTGTTTAGAGCCTAGGCTCTATACATACAAACTGCACCCATCTTAAAATGGATGTTTGATACCTTGGGGACGCCAATGTAGAAATGCGTCCTCTGACTGTGTGTACACACGCACAAACAAAGAATCGGTTAGACCTATAATGGATAGGAATATGGGCTGACACTCACCCATCAAATCTTCATCAGTCAATTGAAAATGCATATCATAGTTTGAAGTTTAGTATTTTTCTACAAATCCGATCAATATAAAATTTTGGGCCCTTGACAAGATCGTGCACTATTATAAAAATATATAAAAATATTAAAATGACCAAACTACCCTTATTTTTTATAGAGATTTTTTGGTCATTTTAAATGATTGAAAATACTTGTTTTGTAGGTTTTTATTGTCCGCCCTATTTTTTAGTACACATGCCCAAAATTTAATCTTGATTCGATTTGTAGAAAAAGATTGAAATTCAAATGATAACATACATTTTTAACTATCCGATCAAGATCTGGCGGCTGGAAGTAAACTTATATTACTATTTATCATAGGTGCAACCTATTGGATGCTTTTTCCTACTTACAATTCACAACCCTTCAGAATACAAATGTTGATACGAGGTTTGCATAAGGTTGCAACTTTAAATAGTCAAACTAAGGCGCAACTCTAAACTTTGTCATAAGATGCAATTTGGTGTCAAAATTTTTTAGGATGGCTCAAATTCTATTTTCATCTCTAATTATAAATTTTTAACTCAAAATGGTTCAAATCAAGCAGATCTATAAATACATGAAAATCTTGATAATGGACAGTCCAGATAACATGTTGCAAGATCTACTATTTTTGGGACTTGAAATTATTATAATTTTTTCATA